CTCGTTGCTCAACTCTCTTAGCACGCTTATCTAGGATGCACCATGTGTGTGTGTGTGTGTGTGTATGTGTGTGTGTGTGTGTATGTGTAATTTTCATTGTTTACATACAACTTAACCTTCACATATCTATTGTAATTTCGTTATATTCGATGAACATGAACTTCTAAGAATTCATGATCTTACTTGGGATATTTACCGTGGTATTCTGGAGTCTTACGACTTGCTAGCGTCAACTTTTTCAAATTGATAAGACCATCATTAACAGGTCAAACGCTGTCACTGACAACAGCGGATAAAGCACCTTGACGAGAGCAGCTACGCTGTATGTTGGGTTGTTAAGGAAGACGCTTCATCTCCTTGGTGTCTAATCTCAGCTGGGATTACCACTGACCAGTGGACACCAACTGCAAGGTGTACTTATAAACGAATCTATTTATATAGGGGGTCCAATTTACTTTGTGATCCCATCTCGTATCCACAATGACAGCTGTGATTAATACTAGCGATACACACCCAAGATGCAGTGAACTGGAACTCGGTATGTTCATCCCAGATTCCCAGTACAAATATTGATGACATGTTGTTTTCATGAACATATATAATGTATTCAAAAATAATATATTGGTATTATGTGCCTTCGTCTGCTTTTCAGTATAGGATGAATGAGTGCAAATTAATATTCACCCGGAAATCCGGTAAAATTGCCACTTCATAAACATATTTATATTATGGACACCATAAACTCAACCGTAAATGCATTTACATAGATCGTATAGTTAAGTGGATAATTTAATCCATATTGCAGGTCGTGGATCAAACTGGAGGATTCATCATTCGCCATATTTCTCCTAACAGATTAACTGGTTGAGGTAGTGTTAATACAATATCGATACCGTTTTGGGTGCCATTATTGTTATGGCTTAAAAGAATTCGCAGTTTCGGTTATCAATAGAATTTAAAATACGAACTGTGGAGAAATCGAACTTAGGACAGCAAGCCCACCCAACTGAGTTTTTTTTGGGGCGAAGGTCCCAGATTTATTTATTTTTTTAATTCGACCAATATCATGGGCATTTTGAGGCCATGTGCACTTGATATTAGGAGATATTCTGAGTTCAGTAGTTACTACTTTTCACTATACCAAAATGCATGAGTATAATATTGCATTAAATAAAAGGTATTGGAATTTTCTGATGAAAAGGGGGGTCAGGACCCCACTAGATCCGCTCCTATAGGAGTATTGTTGGCGGCTCAGACATAACAAGACCTTGAAACTTATTAGCCTAAAGTTAAAAAAAAACGGGAAGACGCTGCATATATATTGCACTGAAATATTAAAGTTAACTGAAGACAAACTAGGGAATTGTTTTACACATCTATAACTATAAATAATTTATGAAATATTATTTATTTAAAGGAAAATTCAGCGCGCCATACCATGAAACCTGAAAAAAAATAACGTGACTGTAAATAAGCACGTCAAAATCATCACACAAACAAAAACCACAAAGCATGGTACAGCACAAACACAAAACACCTTAACACGCAACACAACACAACACAACACAACACAAAGAAAGCCAGCCACCGAGACCCTCACAATACCGGCGTACGCTTCCTGCTCGTGCGTGGTGCGAGTCACAAAGTCACCTTGACTTTTAGATAGGACAGGAACAACTGCTGTGATCTGCATTATTCGCTAGGGCTTATTTTTTTTACACCAAACCGTAAAACACAATGGTATACTCTAGTAAATTACTCACTATTCAAGCCAAACTCACCGGCCTGTAATTATTCGTGCGATGGCGATGACTTTTTTTAATACTGTGCAGGACTCTTATATGCTATCGACTGCTCATCAGGTACATTTGTTCGTCCATACTTCTGCAGAACACGATTTTAGCGGTTCTGAAATCTAAAGTTGATGTTATATAATGTTCCGCCTCAGCAAGTGCTTATACTTTATTACAGTACTAATTACACTAATGATCGACAACGAAAAGTTATTAGAGTCAACTCTGTGGTCTCGTTACATACTATTAATATCTCTGGGATGCACTGTGGGGTTATGAGATATTGGTTCACACTCTGGATGGGATGGAGAAAGGAAACTCACAATGTGCTCTCTGTATACATATTATATTGGATGTACAATGCAGCTTGGTGCTGGGAAATGGCAGCGTGGTTACAAGCGTGATGTAGAGCGAGCAAGTGGCGTAGCTAGAGTGTGTGCCGCCCGGGGCGGCCCTTGAGTTTTGCCCCCGTGCCCCCACAAAATTAGATATTGCAGTGACTCACTCTATATATATATATATATATATATATATATATATATATATATATATATATATATATATATATATATATATATATATATATATATATATTAAATAGTTTGTGTACCATTTTAATATTACTGTACTTTCACATACTCAAATATAGTATGCTGTAAATACACACCAAACATACTTAAACTTTATAAGTAACAGTTAAACAAAAAGCAAAAACGACATATAGGATAGGGAAAAAGTAAAAAAAAGTGACACTAGTATCAATGTAATACAATGGAAATGTAAAAAGTAGCAACTTAATCTAAAATTACAGACTCAGAGTACAGTGAAAATGGATGTCTGACATAAGCCCCCCTGACGAAAGCCACCCAGACAAAAGCCCCCTACTTTGATCGGGGCGGCTTTTGTCTGACAACCCTAACCTAACCTAACTTAACTTAACCTAACCCTAACCTAACCAATAATTAACCACAGAGAAGAACAGTGTATTTTACCCTCAACTATTTAATTATGTCCGTAACTTTTGAAAGCCCTTACTGTTGTCAGACAAAAGCCACCCCGATCAAAGTAGGGGACTTTTGTCTGGGTGGCTTTCGTCTGGGGGTTTTTGTCTGGGTGGCTTTTGTCGGGGGGGCTTTTGTCTGTACCCCAGTGAGGATAGTGTCTTAGTATAAAATCGCAATGCTGTGAAACAAAATCTTAATATTTAATCTCAGTACCGCAGCAAAAGTCACATCAATATTTTTTAACCAATACTTTAATATTTCTTACCTTATAGTATTATGTCTTCCAACGAAGTAAATAACTGGATCGAAAACACAAGAGAACTTAAAAGTCGTCTAGCCTCCCCTCGTCTTGTCACGATGGAGACTTGTGCAGAACTGAAGTGAATTGCTTGTAACTGGTGGATTGGTCGGCTGTACATGAACTGATATGACCCGAGACTGCATGGTTTTGCAGCTACTGGAGACGTTAATCCTTCCCTTTGTATCGGCGGCAAGTTAATCCTCGTCGTGTCTGACCTAACACCTGACCCACACCACATGAGCTCACTGGCGTACTTGTTTGAAGTTGTTTCCTTAATCCTCAACAGGTTACAGGTTGTGTGTGTGGCGGGGGGGGGCGCATAGCAAGGGTGCAGCTCATGACGTGGCCGTGATGATGTGGGTCAGGTGTTAGGTCAGACACGACAAGGATTAACTTGCCGCCGATACAAAGGGAAGGATTAACGTCTCCAGTAGCTGCAGATATGGGTGATGAGCAGACCCAAAAGTGCCGCTCCCCAAAAGTGCCGCCCGGGGCGGACCGCCCCCCCACCCCCCTAGCTACGCTAGTGGGAGCGAGGGCCGCCGGGCAGGAGCGGTGGAGATGGTGTTACTTGAAGACTGGCTGTAGGTAGAAAGAGGTATACCACGAGGTCAGGTCTTATATAGCGGAGGTAGGCGTGGCATAATAGTTGACCTCCGTCATGTAAGGCGGCGCTGGTTGACGTAGACCGCGAGGCATACACTGGGGAATTCGCGGGGTCGGCTACTCAGCGATAAACAGCGTTTGTAGGGGAGGAATCCACTACAACACAATATCAGACCCTAATTTAAATATATTCCACGTTGGAAACAGGCATAAGGACTCTACTGGAAACAAGAATCTCATGACTTTTGGTCAGTTGTCTTTGGTTAAATTGATTGAATATCTATTATTATTATTATTATTATTTTTTTTTTTCTGAGAAGTCTATTCTGTTCAGGGTATATCTGAAGTTTAAAAAACAGCTCCAGAAGTGATGTAACAGTTAGATTCTAACTAACTGGGACGGATCACCATTTTGAACGCCGGATAACGTTGTTCATGTTACTTGCAACCGGTTTTGCATTTTAGGCAATAAGACAGACGTTTCAGTGAAAATCCTTAGGATAAACCGCTATTAATAATTAAGGTCAATGAAGTAAATGAAAACGTAAATAGAGAAAGTAAAGTCAATGTCATGAAAATATAATGTGAACCGTCCCCTACATTATTGATTATAAAGTTAAGAATCTTTTCCTAGATTATTAACCCAGCGCGGTCCGACTAATTACCAAAATGTACCTAAATGTAGCCGCAATGAAGTCAAATGATGGTCCTACAAGCGTAATTCAGGCTGTGAATCACTTCTCTATTATTATTTGGTGTCATAAAGTAAAAAAAAATGGTAAACTTAATTTAATCTGAGTTGTGTTGTGTTAGGTTAGGTTAGATTAAGTTAGGTTAGGTACATGCACTTGATCTATTAACTCAGATTAAATTAAGTTTACCAATTTTTTGTGACTTTGTGACACCAAATACTAGTCGAGAAGTGATTGGCAGTCCGATTTACTCATCTAGGACCATTATTTGACTTCATTGCGACTACATTTGGGTACATTTGGGTAATTAGTCGGACCCACCCAGCGTGGAGAAAGATACCTTGGAAATTCCCCTGTCCAGATGCAACTGACATACGATTTTATTGACTGGAAAACTAATTTTAGGTATTAATTTTCAACAGTTTGTCAATAATACATTTTAAAATTATTTCTGCTAAACATGTGGTGTAGTGCACAGATTTTACATCTCAAAAGTGTTTTAATAATTTGTTTTGGGTAATCTTAAAAGATAATTGTCTAGTGAACATCGGCATCTATGGCTCAAGGCCACTGAGGTCTCCATGGAAGTGTGGAACCCCCGTTAAGCAAAGCCAGCAGTTTTGCCCTTGACTGCGGCGTAGTAACTTGTGACGCTTTGTGTAGTGTATACATGATTTTGCTTCATTAATAAGGGAAACTCAGGCACTCGGTATTAGGACATTCCGGTTTCCCCGAGTTACAGGTAAGTTTGAACTTATCCTTATCTGTTCGACTGTCACATTGGACATAACACTAAGGTAATAAAGTTAAGATTGTTTTCGTACCTATTGCGCATTTTTCAAATTAATTGTATCGTTATTCGTGGAGTGACGATCGTCCTTCTTGAAGATGGGACTCGCATAAGCCATTTTCCAATCAATGGGGACCTTTTACTCATCCAGGAGTTTACAAAACAGGATCTTCAGGGGCTCGGCAAGCTCGTTGCACAACTCTCTTAGCACTCTAGGATGCACCATGTCAGGGCCGGGACTCTTATGAACCTTTAGCTTTGACAGTTTATTTCTTATAACCTCTTCTGTGAACACAATGTGGGTCAGTGCTGTGTCGAACCGTCTGTCCTCAAACGCAGGAAGATTAATCGCATCCTCTTGTGAACACCGAGGAAAAGAAACTGTTCAATGCCTCAGCTTTATCCTGGTCAGATTCTGTGTAACTACCATCTTCAAGCCTCAGGTCCTATACTCCTACTCGCATTTTTAATTTAGACTGCATAGCGGTAAAACGCCTTTGGGTTTGACATGACCTCACTTGCAACCAGCCACTGGAACTCCTTTTCAGTCCTTATACACGCTGACTTTGTTCGGTTTCTGGCTCTTGCATACATCCTCCTGTCCTGCTCATCGTTTGACCTAATCCACGCCTTGAATTTCTGTTTTTTTTCTTTACTTTGTCGACTTCCGCATGGTTCATGTGTAGGGGTCTCCTTGAATTCCTGGAGGCTGGTGTCAACTGGGGCTAAATATTCCTTTTTTCTTTTTTTTTCTTTTTTTTACGGGGATCAGCCCACCCGGGCACAGGTCACCGACCCACATCGGGGCCCAGGTGGCAAAAGTATAATAATAATAATATTAATATTATTAATAATAATTCAGATAAATAAAATTTGTAATAAAAACAAAAACAATAAAATAATAATGATGATAATAATAATAACAACACTGTTGTTATAATAATAATAATAATAATAATAATAACCTTAAGTAATTACAAAAAAATAAAAAGGATCAGAAGTCAGAAACGATATACAGTATGTTGTGTTGTCAAATTAAGAGAAACAATTGTGTGTAAATGAGAGAGAAAGTCAGATCAGCAACTTGGACTTGGTCACAATTTTCGTGATGCTATAGGGCAGCAGGGTCTACCATTAGACAATACATTATGCTTCCAATATCTCTCCAGCCGGTAGTACCTCCCTGTTTGGTAGCTGCCACCATACCCTTCTCGTTTGTTATGATTGTGGTCCAGTGGCTTGGGTGTTTGCTCCCCTCTAACATGTTGGAACAAAATTATCTCGGAGTTTCTATAAAAAGAGTAGCGGGGTTATTCAAGTCATTTGGTGGTGAACTCGTTTCTCCAGTCGATGTCGCCATAGTTAAAGTCCTCCATGATAAGGAGGCGGCTAGGTTTGAGCATTGCTGCCTTGTCTATTAAGCTCTAAAGTTCCTTTACTTTTTTCCTCTTCACCACTGATCGGCTCGTTAACCACTTGGGCGATCGGTCACGTCTCTGTTACGCACTGTTGGCAAGTACCGGTGTCATGCTACAAATCTTCCGGTGCGATAAACCTTCCGGGCTCAGCAATTACTGATGTTCATTATCGACATCTAAGATGTATGATTGATTTGTGGTTGATTTGTGAGAGCTGAAAATATTATTAAATACGGTAACGGAAGGTTTTGAATGAATTTCCCATTTATCTTGGGCAAACTGACTACAGTATAAGGATGATATGAAACATACTCACTATCAAAGACAATGAAAGCACAAAGTGGGCAGCGCTTTGAAGTCGATGGAAATTGTGGGGTAAGAACACAAAAAATGAACCAATCAAACCCAAGGAATCCTGACCTAACCTAACATTACAAAATCTTACCCTACTTAAGCATTTACCCCGGAAGGTTTTGCGCACGGAAGGTTTGTCGCACGACACCGGGCATGCACCGGCTCCTGAATGTACCTGAACCTGCTGTCTGGTCTTGAAACAGCTCACACTCGGTGCTGTCACAACACTTTCTGGTAGATTGTTCAAAGAGTTTACAACTCTCACTCCGAAAAAGTTTGCCTTCACTGTTTTCTGTGATTTAATGGGCCACAGTTTGGGGATCTGTAGATACACCTGACAATACCTAAGTCTCCTCCTTTCAATTTAATTTTACACCACTTGAATTTTTCAAAAAATATCTTCTCCCTGTACCCTCACCTGGCAGGGTCTAAGGTTTTGCCTTGCATAGATAACCACACCCCTCATGCAAGATACTTGAGAAAGGTTCGTAAATAAGTCATATCCGTCAATGCTAAACTCACATTCCTCTGGGTTGATTCTCCTTTTCTTGCACAACAGTTCTACAACACCTACTATATCGGGTTGGTGTACCTTCAATAGTGTTTCAAATTCCTCTCTCTTATCAAAGAACGTGTCAGTGTACATGACATTCAAGCCGGAATTTGTTCTCGGTAACGTCTCTGCTCTTGGTAGTGACTCCGGCCCCCCTCCATTCTTAGCAGCTGCAGCATTTGCAAAATACATTGTATTTTGCAGGGTGTGGATATAAATGTCATTACAGTATTTACACGGCGCTCGCCTCCTCCTAGGCAGGGTTGCCAACTCGGATTTTCAAATGTCGCTAGGCTGGTACCTAAAAGTAGCTAAATGTCGCTAAATCTTCCATGGAAAGTCGCTAGCTATTATTCCCCCCCTTCAGTAATTTGATGCAAGTAATATTTTCATAATGCCGACTATAATGGACGGAGTATAAATAAAATGCATTATGTAAAAATAAAAATAATATTTTTTTTAAAGTTTAATGTGCACACTTACCTATTATTCAATAGTAATTACATCCCAGTCCTCTTCGTAGTCGTCGGCAGTGTGAACAACTGTAGAGCTGGAAGCATGTGAAGTGCTTGGTTCAGGTTCTCGTGCAGATATCTTGTAACTGTATGCCTCCACAGGTCGACTTGCGGGGCAACTGTATGGAGTCTATGGGTCACCCATGGTGGACGCGTACGAGAAGTTTGGAACCACGCAGGCTTGATAGAATTAATTCTATAAGATGTTTTGCTAATATTCTTTAAAATTTAGCGTATTAATGAAATTCATATTGCATATCTGATAAAAAGGTAAGTTACCCAGGTGCTACAAAGGCGAAGGTAATAGACAAATAAATGACGACACGGCAACATTAGCCATGGACGGGCTGACATCAAGTGATCAGGAAATAGACGAGTCCCTCCTTCTGTACCACGACCCGTTCAAATGTATTAAACTTTTCTTATTATTTATTGTCCCTGTAACCCCGTTGCTATATATAATGGCTCGAAATTAGGAAAACTGAGTTTTCATGGACAGTCCAAAAGTATCCAGAAAGTCGCTTGATTTCTGTGGATATCTCTAGATTTGCGACAAGTCGCAAACCGCTCTAAAATGTCGCTAGAAAAAACAAAAAGCTCTAGATCTAGCTACAAAGTCGCTAAGTTGGCAACTCTGCTCCTAGGTGGGAGGTAGAGTGGCGGTGGGGATGTACCGCTGGCTCTGTGCTGGCCCTCTTGTTTCCACTCCCCTCCCCCTGGATATAATCCATGTACACCTGTCCCCGTTTCTCCTCGACTCGTCCCTCCTCTGCTTCTTTTTCTTCTTTTTCTTTTATCCTCTTCACCACTGATCGGCTCGTTCGCCGCTTGGGCGACTGGTCACGTCTCTGTTACGTACTGTTGGCAAATACTGGGCATGCACCGGCTCCTGAATGTACCTGAACCTGCTCCAGTGTTGGTCAAGTCTGGTCTTGAAAGAGCTCACTCGGTGCCGTCACAACACTTTCTGGTAGATTGTTCCAAGAGTTCACAACTCTCACTCCGAAAAAGTTTGCCCTCACAGTTTTCTGGACCTGCGGCTTCTTCAAACTTGAGCTGTGACCCCTTGTGGGGCGAGCGTCCTCCAGCTCCAAGTAAGGACACTCGACTGAATAGCGCCCCATGAGATTCTTATACACTTCAATTTGGTCCCCCCTTGCCCGTCTGTAGTATATGCTAGGCAAGTTCAGGCGCTCCAATCTCAGGATAGCTGAGGTGGCGAAGTGCAGGCACCAGTCTGGTGGCTCTCCTTTGAACAGTTTCAACCAACTGACAGTCCCTAGCATATCTCGGGGACCAGACGGGGTAACAGGAATATGTCAGTACAATGAAGAGACTTAAACAAGTAGAGGAAAGGACTAAGAATATGGCCATTATACTGTAGACTGTCGTAGCTGAAGGCACTGTAGGGGTATCGAGATATTAATGTTGTCTAGCACTCAGGATGGAAGGAAACTCTAATGTGGTTTTCTTGTATAATATATATAAGTTATATGATAGACAGTCTGGTGCTGGAGGTGCCGTGTGGTGAGGGGCTGCTTGGTAGAGACGTGCTGTGAGTAGCTTGTTGAAGGAGGTAGATGTGCAGGAGCTTGTTAGAGAAGATGTTGCCTGTTGCTGGATTCCTGGTTGAATGAAATGTTAACAGCGTGGAGCTTGCTGGAGGAGATGTTGCTTGTTCAGGAAAATGGGCAGAATGAGAGTTGGTTGGTGAGGAAGCTCAGAGAAGGACATGCTCCCTGGCGGGAGCGAGGACCGCCAGGCAGGCGGAGGAGAGGCGAGGGTCGCCAGGCAGCGGCAGAGGAGGAGGTGTTGCTTGTTCAGGAAGATTGGTCAGACTGAATCTCGATACGATACGAAGTCTTTAGTTAAGAGGTGAAAGAAGATTATTAGGAGTTGAAGGAAAAGTGGTGAAACTGAAATACAGTAGGAGTAGAAAGAATCTGGGCTCAACCAGATCGCTTCATCTTTCTTATTGGTGTTTTGTCTTTGTTCTGCGACTGAATCTCAAGGGAGAGACAGAGCTTATATACCCCGCAGCAGCCGCTATGAGTCACGGTGGGAAAACCCGAGAAATAGCCGGTGACTAGTTTCGTTGCTAAGATACGGTAACATCTGGTTGGTTGCTAGGGAAGGCGGCACATTGGAATGTGATAGCAGGTGGTGGGCTGCTACGCAGTTAGTTTGTAGGGGAGACGTCCACTACAGCACACTACTCTCTCTGATCTACCTATGGACAGTCAATCACAACCATGGACACGCCAAATTTAAGTTTTCTATGTAAATCTTGGCATATGGCATTGATTTTATAGTTGTACCCAAACAGTTTAGCCTTACTCAAGTAGAAAGAATATTTCAATGTTTATATGGAACAATCCCGTATGTACAGGGTGTCTGGTATACCGTTTCCAATGTATACAGTATAGTACATCGGAAACGGTATAGCTACCTGCACGGTCAGTGTAGTACAGTACAGTAGACCTGTGTTGTTTATACACATGCCAAACTGTTTACCTGTACTTGCATTGTCTATAGTCTATACTGAAGTCTATAAACATGCTGAACTGTTTTTCTGCTTTTTCTATAAACGTATACATGTCAATCTTAAATTTTTATGATTTTACTGAAAGATTATTATTATTATTATTATTATTATTATTATTATTATTATTATTATTATTATTATTATTATTGTTATTATTATTATTGTTGTTAATTTTATTATTATTATTATTATTATTATTATTATTATTATTGTTATTATTATTATTATTATTATTATTATTATTATTATTTTTTTTTATTATTATTATTATTATTATTATTATTATTATTATTATTATTATTATTATTATTATTATTATTGTCGTCATCGTCGTTGTTGTTGTTATTGTTATTATTATTATTATTATTATTATTATTATTATTATTATTATTGTTGTTGTTAATTTTATTATTATTATTATTATTATTATTATTATTATTATTATTATTGTTATTATTATTATTATTTTTTTTTATTATTATTATTATTATTATTATTGTTAGTTGTTGTTTGTATTTATTATTATTATTATTTTATTATTATTATTGTTGTTGTTATTGTTATTATTATTATTATTATTATTATTATTATTATTATTATTATTATTATTGTTGTTGTTATTTTTATTATTATTATTATTATTATTATTATTATTATTATTATTGTTATTATTATTATTATTATTATTATTATTATTATTATTATTATTGTTATTTTTATTATTATTATTATTATTATTATTATTATTTATATTTTTATTATTATTATTATTATTATTATTTTTATTTTTATTATTATTATTATTATTATTATTATTATTATTATTATTATTATTATTATACTGTAATTGAAAACTCATTTTGCTGGTTCATAGAATTGCTATTTTTGCAGGCATGAAGATGTGGACATATGGCTTGGGAATGGCTCGTGGAGGGGGCATTGAGGTACCGGTACTGCTACTGACCCACCTTTTACATACAGTGACAGCTCAGAGTAAGATTAATGATCCTTCTCTTATAAAAAGTGAAAAGACATAGTATGAATGAGGGTCCTCCTCTTCTATATTGTATATGTTCTAATAGTTTTTTATCCCTCACAAATGTTACACACACACACACACACACACACACACACACACACACACACACTACTACTACTACTACTACTACTATTTTTTTTTTTTTTTAACGTGGCCTCCAGCCTCCCCCAATAGCCACACCTTCGCCACCATTTAATTACCTTAATATTAAATATCCTAATACATAATAAGCTATCCTATCTGTGTTAAATTAGTTGAGCCGCAGATCTATGCGGCATTCAGTGACTGTAGCCTCATAGTCAATATCTGCAGCAGTTGTCGGAGTAGGGGCAGAAGCTCTCGTTCCCCTGAGGCAGAGCAAAGCCGACCGAAGGAGAGAGAAGGACAGTCGACATCTCATCCAGGCTGTAACAAAACTTCTGGGCTGCTGCTTCTGTTCGGAGATCAACTCCGCGAGTCTGTCGTAGAAACATCTTGCACTTGGGCCCATCCCACCAGAGGTTGTGAACACTAGAGGAGTGAAGCTGCCTTGATCAACGTTTTGAATTCTCTCCCCATATGCCCTTCTCTTGTCGTTCTCGTTCCTCCTATGTGCGGCATCGAGAGCTAGGTTATGGTGACATGCGGCCATGGGATCAAAAATCCTGATGTCGAAGAAAGCTCGCTGTCCCCGCGTCCAGAATCCTCGAGCACTGACGTCCACATGGGCTTCGTTAGATGTGTTTGAAGTCCTGTGTTGGAAGATCTCGCCATCCAATGGAAGGAGGGTCGGTTCTACCATGACGTCCCGGCAGATTTCCTTCAACATATGTGCTGTGAGATCCCTTACCTCGTCATGCCTCATGCATATGAAGCCCCCCTTCTTGCAGACCATGGCGTGATCGCCATCATAGGAAGAGCCACACACGCATTGGGAGGGCAAACCTTCTACTGGCCAACCGTACCTTAGAGCAATGGCATCTGTAAATTCTTGTTTATTAAGACTGAAACTATTTGCCCTTATCGGTAACGTAGTTAACCAGTTCGAGGCGCCCACCTCCTGCGCAATAGCTACTTTTTTTTCAAATTTTCTGGAACCTGCAGCAATAGTTGCTGCAACATATCATTTTGGCAGTGCTGTTGATCTGTCGTAATGGACCTACGAATCTTATTTACTTCGCTGGTATCCACCTCCCCTGTTGCATTCTGGGCTATTATGTGGTCCGTGAGGGCTGCCGTGAGCTTAAGTGAATTTTGATGTTCAGTGTCAGCAATCTCCTCTGGATTAGTTATTCCCATCCCTCCCAGTCTTGGTGGAAGTGCAAGAAGTGATCTTTCTGCTGGGGTTAAGTCAGGGTGTTTCACTAGTTTGGGAATGAACTTGACACTGATAGCTTCTTCCAGAGGGTGGAGGAGGGGTCCGATCTCAGGGATGGTGCGCATCAGGTAGTTCCAGCGATGTTTGACTCCATGGGTGAATGCTGCAAAGGCCGCATGTGGCTCTGTGTTAGCAATCTCAGACAGAGCTTGGATTTCACTAACTCACTCATTCCCCTTTCCCGCTACGTACTCGGTCTTGAAGTCCATAGTGCCAATTACTGCGCCTAGATGTCTTTGGCCGTCCTTAGTTATTTTGACCTCACTTCCGCCAAAAACCTCCAATGCCCGTTCATAATGTTCTGGCTTCACGATGAGGAAGGACTTGCTGGCGTTTGGGTGGTACCCTATTTGTGGACCTCGCGATGTTACCAAGTCCCACCACTTTTTGATGCACTCCACTTTTCCTGCTCCTGTAAGGTCGTCAGCATACGCCACTTGTTTGACCCCAGTTGTTTCAAATTTAATTTCTTGTTGGAGCACTGACAGGCCAATCGCATACATTGCCATTGCGACGGGGTCCCCCTGTGTTGTTCCCTCGGCCGACTGTAGGATGGTATCACCTCGTAGAGCCTTGTTGTTTACTATGTAGAGGTCTGAAGGATTCCTATACGAATTTTCAACATACATCGCAAAGCTTGGACACTTGATCTTGATGTTGTGCAGTGCAGCCTTGCGGTTAAGTATGTTAAATGCGTTTGAAGCATCCACCAGGAGAATGGCCTCACAATCACGCTGCTCAAATATCAATCTCATGGCGTGAATGGCCGCCTCCCCACCAGCCTGGTGGCCAGCACACACTTGTAGGTTCCCTGCTGCTGCCCTGACATCGTCCTTTACCACCTCCATTATGCACTTTCCGATGATCCGCCTCAGCACTTCCCCCACCCCTATAGGTCTACATCCTGGTTTTTTATCCAGAGGAATAAGGCGGCAGGCCGTCAGGGCCTGGAGGTGATGGCAGCAAGAGGATGCAAGCTTTCTTGCAAGGGCGGCAATGGCAGTGCAGAGATCGCTTGCTACAGGGCCAAACTTGTTTGTGCTGAGGATGACTCTCCAACCGTTTGCATCTAGACCTGAAGGGCCGGCTCCTCCTCGAGTCTTCAGTGCCTTTTTCCACACCATCTCTCCTGTTATTTTCTCGAACAGGACAGCATTTGGTGGGATATAGTCACCCTGGAACCTGATGCCTTCATCTTCGCTTGCAGGGGGATGTTTCTCTTTCAATAGTTTTAATGTCTCTCTGTTTATTGGCATCACCCCACCGGAGGATTCCTTTGTGAGAGATCTTACCGCAAGAGACACTTTTCCCACACGCATTTTGTTTCCAAATTTTCTTGCCACGTCATCAGTGTTTTGCTTTCCGTCACCCGTAATTTTTAGTCTCTCCTGCAGTGTTCTTGCTTCACATAGGAGATCATCTAGGGCCCCAGTCTGCCACATTGTCAATCTTCTCTTCATTGCTGCCCCATTTTCTTTGTGCTTAGCCTTTGTGTGTGTCCTCTGACAAAATAGATGTGGTATTATTGCCAGTATTTGAAGAGCTAGGGGGGCGAGGAAGCGGTCCTGAGTGTAATCAGTCATGAAGCGAGTCATCTCCCGAATCATTTCTTTGGTGGCCGCACACTTGGGTGGTTCAAATAAGTTAGCGGGCGACCACTTGACAATTTCTGAGTAGGTTTCTTTAACCCCATATGTCTGCATTTTACATCGACATGCCATTCCACTGAGGTGGTTGTCTCTCATTCTCCTCGTGGACACCTGCTACTAAGGGAGCAGCATTTGTTAGTACTACATTTTCGGGTTGAGTAGACTCACTGCTATCATTTCGGATATCATCGGGTAGTTGGGTCCCGGCGATATCCACTGTGGCCACCTGTGTCGGCTCCCTGCGACGTGGGTTCCGACACTGGTCTAGCTTCCTGCAATCCACACATGGTCGGTTGTTTCTCGCACAAACACAATTTGTGCAGTTTTGGTTCGGGCTAGCACAGACGCAGCAAAGAATGTTACCAGGCATAGTGAACAGCACCTTGGGCGACGGTAACGTCCGCCTCCGAACATCTGATTTAGTCCCAGGCACAAGATTATACTGGTTCTTATGAGGGAAGGGCGGAGAGGTGACAGGCTGGACTGCTGTGTCCAGGTAGTAGGGGCATAATAGCATAGCGACCACATCATCAGAATGATACACTATGGATGAGTTTGTCACACCAGGCACTTGTTTATATATCCTTGGCACAAATAACCACTATTTATATGGTCTCACTGGTGTAATATCAGTTATATAGTCATACATTCCCTATGGTGGGGGCGACCGCATGGGCAGCACTCTCGGCCCCATAGGGGCGATAGTCTCGGGACCACCCCTGTCAAAGTAGGCCTAACGACACTGACCTTGGCGCCGAGCCTCCTCATTATCCCACCACCGACCCAGCACAGGTCACCACTCACTTGGAAAACGCCGGTGAACACACGGAATATTTACAATTTATGCCGTAAGGGGTGAGAAGAAACCTTGGGTGGCAATGCTTAGGGTGACATCCGATATTCACGGACACATTGTTAAATTACCCGCTCCCACACAGCGAGTATGTCCCCACCAATAACACTTTAGATCAGGGAGGACGTTCCACCACACCCACGCCGCGCTGGCCTACTACTACTACTACTACTACTACTGTAGTATTACTACTACTACTACTTTTTTTTTTTTTATAAAATGGCCTCCAGCCTCCCCCAATAGCCACACCTTCGCCACCAATTTATTACCTAAATATTCAATTTCCTAATACATAAGTCGCTATCCTATCTGTGTTGAGTTAGTTGAGCAACATATCTATGCGGCATTCAGAGACTGTAGCCTCATAGTCAATATCTGCAACCGTTGTCGGCTTTGGGGCCGATGCTCTCATTCCTCTGAGGCAGAGCAAAGCCGACCGAAGGAGAGAGAAGGACAGTCGACATCTCATCCAGGCTGTAACATAACTTCTGGGCTGCTGCTCCTGTTCGGATATCACCTACGCGAGTCTGGCGTAGAAGCATCTTGCAATTGGTCCCATCCCAACTGAGGTTGTGAACACTAGAGGAGTGAAATTGCCTTGATCAACATTCTGAATTCTCTCCCCATATGCCCTTATCTTGTCGTTCTCGTTCCTTCTGTGTGCAGCACCGAGAACTAAGTTACGGTGACATACGGCCATGGGATCAAATATCCTGATGTCGAAGAAGGCTCGCTGTCCCCATGTACAGAATCCTCGAGCACTGACGTCAACATGGGCTTCATTGGATGTGTTTGAAGTCCTATGTTGGAAATTCTCACCGTCCAATGGAAGGAGGGTCTGTTCTACCCTGACATCACGGCAGATTTCCTTCAACATATTTGCTGTGAGAGCCCTTACTTCGTTATGCCTCATGCATATGAAGCCCCGTTTCTTGCACTCCATGGCGTGATCGACGTCATAGGAAGAGCCACACACACATTAGGAGGGCAAACCTTCTACTGGCCTACCGTACTTTAGAGCATTGGCATCTGTAAATTCTTGTTTATTGAGACTGAAACCATTTGCCCTTATCGGTAACGTAGTTAACCAGTTCG